TATTCCTTAGAGAGTCGATAAAACCTACAGCAAAATATTTGGGCGAACAAGAAACTATTGCGTGTCAAGTTTGAAATCAGAGACACCATTTATGTACGAAAAGTGGCAAATAGCGTTATATCTAATCGTCCGATTAAAATAACGTTAATTCGTTATAATTTAGATTATTCTGCATTCGTTGTTAAGTCTTCGGAACGTTGACAATGGCAGAAATCACACAGACAATGTACCAGGCCAAAAAGAGTCTTTTTGATAAAAACATCAAATTATATAAATTTAGCTGAAAGATTTTTTAACAAACATTTTCATCGATATTTTCAATGCATATTGTTTAATGTCGTAATACGTTTTGACTTAAAACGAAATCAAAGTTATAAATAGCATACCTTGTGCTTTGGATTCTGTCAGTTGTTTTTCAGATATCTAGATAAAAATGATGAAAGGTTTCAGAAGCAAAGTTTGGGGGACAAAACAATTTATACTCGATACTATAATATATTATATCAAATGCATCACTTTCTGTAGCATAACTTAAATCAGTGAAATTCACTGCGTGACTAATTTCTTTTGTACATTCTTCTTGAATGATGTTGACGTACATTCATCTTTGGTGATGATGATGATGATGATAATGACTTAATGACTCACCAAATCCAACAAATCTTCGGTTGATTGTGTTGTCGAACTACAACAAACTTCTTCGCCATTTTCGTAATCCTTATCTAACATTTTATATTTTTCATTTTCATTTGGGAATGGAGAAAATTTTAGATTCTTACATGGTACACAGAAATCGTGGGCAAGTTTAACCTTTCTTGACGAAAAAAAGTAGAAAATGAAACCCAGAACTTGTGATCGATGCTATACTAATGAACACAGAGATATATACAGCCCAACGTTCGTGCTTTTCTTTGTGTTTCTTTTGTCTTTTGGAAAGAGTGGAATAATGAGGACTGTGGTTGTCTTCAAGATGTCTGTACCGGTCTTTATTTGATGTATCTAATGGAACATAAAGCCTACCACTGGGACCAATCCTTACATCAGACATGTCTTCTTCCAGTTACTAAAATAAACAATTACTAATTGTTGTAAATGTAACACATCCCTCGACCTTAAAGACATAAAACTATGCCCACAAATAAATTTATGAAGACTTTTAAGAAACAAGATTTGAATGTTGGATTTTGGTTTCGTATAAAAAAAAAAAAACTTGTTAATACTGCCTATTTCCGTTGAATATAATTTATAGTTCATAGGTCATGAGTATGTGGTTAGTGAATAAAGAGATTTGATCGATGCCAAATGTATTCATATTAATTACATAAAGTATCATAATTTCTTACCTTGTATAATACCATTTTTGTGACAATATTGCAAGAAGGGTGTTATTAATAGTGGGTTTACACATTCGTATATACTTCCTCGGTCTACTTTTACTTTCGATTTGATCTTTTATGTTAGAAGATAAGATATTAATCATATATGTTTCAATATAGTATCACCTGCATAAATCTATTTGAAAATATATTGCTTATATGTCAAGAAACAAAGTTTAAGATGGCACACTTTAATTGGCAGAAAAAAAAATTATAAAAGGGCTTTGTCTGGCCAAATTTTGTGGTCAACAGCCATATTTTATGGCCGGCCAGTGGCTGTGTACAAAGGAAAGAATTGAATTTTGAATTACAATATTATAACAAAAAACGATATTTTCTATTCAATAGAATCTTTCATAGTTCATTATTTTAATGCCAGGTAAATATCTCAATAATTCCAATATATTGTCATTTTCATGCCTTACTGTGTTACTGGCCAGTCAAAGACGAAGCCTCTATATTATGGCAAATTTTTACTAGTCCACAGTAATGGAGGTTAGGTAGATTTTTTGATGGAATTGGCAGGAATTCACTCACATGGTGCCGTCATACCTGTAAATATCGCAAAAATTACAACATAATGCTATTGGCATGCCTAACTGTGTTACTGGCCAGTCAGAGACGAAGCCTTTACATGGCCAATTTTTCCCGATAGTCTCCTATGGGTTTATAAAAGAAATCTTTAGTGCCAGCGAGGTACTGTGAGGCCAATCTAACAAAAATCCTATAGTTTTTAAAATCTGGTCAGTGACTGTTATCCAACTAGCCAATCAAAGACGAAACCTCTAAATGGGCTCTTTTTTACGAGTCCATACTAAAAGGGGTGGGGCAGATTTTTTGATGGAATTGGCACAATCTTTCATAGTTCATTCTTTCAATGTCACGTAAATATCTGAAAAATTCATATATTTATCATATTGGCATTTTCATGCCAATATTACTGTGTTACTGGCCAGTCAAAGACGATGAATTTACATATCCAATTTTTAACAGTCCACAGTAATGGGGGTAAAGCAGATTTTTTGATGGAATTGCCAGGAATCCACCCACATGGTGCCTTCAGTCCTGTGAATATCGCAGAAATTCCAAAATCACGACATTTTCATGCCTTACTGTGATACTGGCCAGTCTCTGACGAAGCCTCCACATGGTCTTTTTTTCCAATTGTCTCCTACAGAATTATGGAATTTTGGCCTAAAGACAACATGTGATTGAGCTTGTGTCAATTCCATCAAGAAATCTGCCCCAACCCCATTATTGTGGACTCGTAAAAAATTGCCAATGTAGTGGCTTCGTCTTTGACTTGCCAGTCCGCCATATTATAACCAGGCCAGATTTTAGAAACTTTAGGAATAAAAAGAAAAGAATAAGTATGCTATAAAAGACCATTGGAAAAAATTGGTCATGTAAAGGCTTCGTAGTTGACTGGCCAGTAACACAGTTAGGCATGATTGCAGATTCTAAAAGGAATGGCAAATATAGTTTGTGCACTGACAACACTAACTTAACGACATCTATTAAAACCATACATAAAACTGCTAAAAGGTGTCTTTGTGTTCTTATAGATGTGGAACTCGAACCTATTCAAACAGTTTGTGATATGGTACCAAACCCTAGATGTAGAGAAATGCTGAGTACTTGGACTGTTGGTTTCAATGGAGATTGTGTACATAATCATACTGGTTTTAGAATTGGAATCAATGGTTATAAACGTGCTGCTCTTCAGGTGATGTTCGAATTTTAAATTAACCTGTTAACGAACTAAGGGTATTGTTTGAAAGAAGATGAAAGGTGAAGGGAAGATATAAAAGAAAATGCCAACAAATAAAAGTTTCGACTCTAAGTTAAATGCAAAGCAGAATTTGCAAAGTTGTGTGGGTGTTCGGGTGATTGACGCAGCGTTTATTTGCTAACAATATTCGCCTACACCACCTTACAAAGGAGACAGTAATTTCGGAGGTCAAAGGTCTCTTACAAGACATTTCTCTGTGCTAAAAGAGCTCATGTTAATGCTGCCGCCTTTTTTTTCATTGCAGTTCCATTGGAACAATCCTGCACTACACTCAACTTATACAGACAATTCTGGTTTGATATTGTATTTTACTGATGATTTGAGAACGCATGATGCTGGAATACTGACAGTGGGAGCTAATTACCTGAATATACCCCCTGGAGTAGAACGTACAACCTACGTTAGTTATTGTCCAGCACAATGTACAGATATGTTTATCAACGATAAGGTGTACATAGCTTCAGCTAACAATCATATGCATTACCTAGGTCGGTATCATTTCAAAGTCTTTTCTCGAGACTGTCATTATATAGAAAAATCATAGAAATAGAAAGTTCAATTCTTAGTATACTTGTATCGGTATTTTGGAAAGGATAGTTTTCGTACATTTATAGTATTTCTGAAGACTATACACGAATATATTCAAGACATAAATCAACACCCGAAATGGCG